CCGCATTTTGCCTTTTATCTGCCCAAAGGGAAATAGCATCCCAAACAGCTGCACCAGCTGAGCTGGGCACGGTGGGCTACAGCCCTCACCCACCTCTTGCAGGGTGCTGTGCCCCGTCTAGAAGGTTTGTCTCAGACACGCTTCAAGTCACTAAGCTGTGGGGACTCTGTTTCCATGTCCTGGGTTGCCAGATGCCTGGGACATGTGACTGTTCCATAGTTTTTGGTAGATAAGGAAGATGTCAAGAATACAAATAACTCACTGATTCTCCGGGACCTGTAGCTGTTGCAGGGTTGTGTGTGTTCGTTTTTTTGTTTTGTTTTGTTTTGGAGAGGTTTTGCTATAGGGCACATGTGCTTGCCAGAAAGACAGAGAGAGACAGAGAGACAGGAAGTGAGAAATCAACCCCCCGGGGGGCCTGGCCACTCCACAATCCCTTCTCCTCCATTCTCCTCTCGGGATCTTGGGCATACACGCACACACTCCCGACATGAGTTTAAGCCACTGGGTCCGGGGCTCAAACTGCAGTTGACTACGTGGGAATCCAGCAACATAGCCATTATGCCAACTGCTGGTCCTAAGGGTTGTGTGTTTTCTTACTCCTGTGGGATTTCACTTAAATTCCGAGCTGCGTGCCTGGCAGATCTGGATACTTGGCATCTGAGTAAATTGCGACTTGCATCTTGTTTGTCAGTGAAGGGCTGTTTTATGCCGAGAGAAATCAAGCTTGTGAGAATTTCATAACCGTTTCCCCAGCTCAGTATGAATGCTGCTTTGAGAGGAAGTGGCCTGTCCCACCTCTGGGACCAGAACTGGAGGTCCACGCAGCACGGTCCCATCTGAGCCTGTGTTTATGTCTAGAATTCAGAGGGGCTGGTGGGGCAGCCATGTGGGAGTCGGTTCACGTGACTGAAGAGCAACACAGGGCCTCGTTCAGCCCTCCCCTTGGTGCACCACTTGAGTTCCAGAAGGAGCAGGCGTCTGTGCATGCAGATGGGGGCCTGGCTGTACATACCTGCTTCCGAGATATTTCCACATCCTGATCTGGACGAGAGCGTCTGAGATTTATGACTGAAAGGCCTGTTTTCCCTAGAGCTTCTGTAGGAATCCACTGTGTGGAGGGGCCTGTGGCATGCCAGCCGTGGCCCAGAGGAGCACTCACACCATGAGGGCTTTGCCTGGAGCCTTGGGTGGAGCAAAAGCCCTGCCCTGCCCTGCCCTGCCCTGCCCTGCCTGGCCTCCGCTGACTTCAGAGCCACGCGGGAAATGCAGGAACCCACAGGAACACAGGTTAGGCTTGCGAACAGTCAGCTTAAGGCCAGCTTTGGGCTGTGATGCAGCGATGCAGGGAGACGGTTCTCCGACGGAGGCATCTCGCCCGCCCAGGCGTGCCGTCTAACAGGAAGCGTGACAGTACCTGACACAGGAACGAGATCTGAAACACACAGTGACGCAGGAGGAAATGCAGACGGTAGATGGGAAAGGCGCCCACTGAATGTGAACCGGAGACGGCAGTCACTGCTCGCTGGGATGGAGACCCAACAGCCGGAGGCAGGAGATCAGGCGAGATGCATCAAAGCACTGCTGGGACTTGCAAAAACCCCTGACTGGCAAGGCACTGAGCCCCGCCTGGGCCTGTTCAACGACGTGAACCTCAGTTTGTCATTT